AGCAACAACAACAGCAAAATTTCGATCGACACCATCTAAATAGTCGGCTGAGTATCGGTCTTTTTCGATTTGTCGAGCAGTATTCGTTGATTCTCGAATCTTGTTTACCGAATACTCGAGCAATTTCTTTACGTCTCTGCCTGCGAACGCTTCGTGTGGCTACTGCGGTTGGCGTGACGCTAGCTACAGAGCTTTTAGCAATGACGTGATAGTTGTTTAATAGCGAAACCGGTTGATCGATTGTCGCTATGGGGTTTTTAGCAAACTCGCGACGATTTTTCGCGTCGAATTTATTCGTTTCTGTAGGCCCATCGCCATCAACACCAGCATCACCATAGTTATCACCAGCGTCTTTGTCGTTATCAATTTTACCAATGACGTCATCAGCATCGTCATCATCACAGGTGACGTCATCGTCGTCGTCGTCGTTGTAGCCATCGTTCGATAATTTTTTCTGGTGATACCGTCGGCGATCAGTACGTCCGGATAATAGCCCCTCCCTACTGCTGTTATTGACGTGGTGGACCCCAGGAGAAAGTAGGGATGTGCTAGAGGAATCGTAAGATGGAGAGATGGGCGATTTAGAGCGTTTAGTCGGTGTTTTTTCGTTGTTGCCATTGTTGATGTTTTTGTAGCGAATTGCGGTAGCAGTAGTAGTAGCAGTAGTAGTAGTTGTTGTTGTTTGTTGTTGATGTTGATAATGATGCGTTTGGTGATATTGTTGATAATGATGCTGATGTGGCTGTTGTGGTGACGACGACGACGGTGGTAATAGTAGTCGCTGCGGTGACGATGATGGCGTTTGATGTTGAGGATGATGCTGATGATGATGACGCGCGTTGAAAGCAAAGTAGCTGGGTGTTGTTGCTTGTTGTGACTGCTGATGTTGTTGTTGGTGCTCGCTTGGTTTCTGTTGATGTTGTTGTAGATGTTGATGTTATTGTTGTTGATGATGTTGTTGTTGATGTTGTTGTTGTTGATGTTGTTGTTGATGTTGTTGTTGATGTTGTGTTGTTGATGTTGTCGTTGATGTTGATGTTGTTGTTGATGTTGTTGTTTTTTTGTTGTTG